ATATATATTTCTAATCATGATATATTCAGGCATGTCACTCTAATAAACTTCATTTCTTAAAAACATTTTTTTTCAAGGATTAATCAGATGAACACACATCAAAAATGTACTCGCAAGAATCTTGAGGAGATCAATGGTCCAAAATTAAGTAAAACAAGGATGGGTCCATCTACATGAGACCAAGAGGCTCTATTTACCTAGTAGATGCAGTCATTCGAGCCAAGGACAAAGACAACCGAGACTGGAGAAGGACAAAAAAAAAAAGATCTAAATCTAGGTAGATCGGACTTGAACAAATAAATCAGCACTAAAGCTAACTACCACAGAAAAGTCGAGCAAAGGTATCAAGCTACCTCTCAGGAAATTCAACTCAAGGAAAGAAACCAGTTCCTCACCATCACCAGACATCCCACAGACGCCCTCGAAGTTCCTCATTATGGACCAAGTTTCGGTCATACGACAAGGTCTCACAACCATCCTGAAGAGCCTCCTTGTCAAGAAATGAGCTATATATCAAGTTATGGTGATTCATCCTCTACTTGATAGCCTACTCTTGTTTTGCTGACCTAAGCCCCTCAATAGGGTTCGAGGGTCGGCAATCAAACTTGACCAATTGATAAGCAAAATCTAACCGACTATTGTTGTCCTGCTGACTCAAGGCTGACTGAAGTCGGTCAATAGGTTACACAGACTAAATCAAGCCAACCTAACCAGCCTTACCATGCCAAAGTTATGATAGCCTAACATACCAAATGATAGGACAATTGAGCAAAAGCCTTGCAGCAAAATACCCAAAATATCCTGTGACGACCTCGTTAAAGAAGGGTCAGAAATATAATTTCATATGTTTCACTCTATTCTCTATAAACAAAGAGATCATTTTATGAGAAATGACTAATATTTATAACATTTTACTATTCAATTATTTGTCTCTCTATCTCTCCATCTCTCTCCTTTCTTACATTTTAACCACTGAGGTGCGATTCACGGACAAATCAGGAATCAATATCATAAAATATTCAATGTGTGTGGATCATGCCCCAAACAATAAGAGGAGTAGTACATGTAGAAGAAACTCATAATATAGACATTAGTTGAATATGATAATTTGTGAACTAGTAGATCCAAGAGCTGAGGGATCAGATGTTGGATGCCATCTGCGGGGCATTAGCTCGGGGAAGGGAGCAATATCCTTGAGAGGAAGGGCTAGTGCCCAATGACTGAAGGGCAGCAATAACCTTGGATGGAGAAGGGAGCAGAATCCTTAGAATTGAGTTTATATCAGAAATAAAGTACGGGCACATATTCCAACGTTCATGACGCACTGAATCACATGACGAGGACCAGGAGCAGCTACTTGTGCACTGTACCTTAATTCTCAATTTATATTCATGTATACAATTAGGATAAAACATTTATATGAGAAGTCTGATTGCTTTTCCTGCTTTCTTAGAATATGTGGCTGACCTAGCGGCACCAATATATTTTGTTTGGCTTGTTTACATCGCACATCGTGATGAATTTTCACTTTCTTCTTGTTATTTATGATTTTTCTAGGTTACAGCATATGATAATACAATCTAGGCTCATAAAGGACCCTAACATATAAATTTTTTACAAAAAAATCCTAATAATAAAAGATTCAAGATAATTCAAAATTTAGGATTAAAATCTTTCAACTATTTAAAATCTTCTTTTACTTTCTTGCATGGCCTTCGGGCCGGATTTAAAACAATTGCATGGCATGAACATATCCCAAGTCATCCTTAATAGAGTGTCCACATGTAAATTCAATTGCAAATAATTGTATCATGTTGCATGTCCCGAGGAAGAGTCCCCGTACTCTTTTAATCGACTAATCTTAGCGTATGATTTCTATCTATAAGATTGTTTAGTACGACTAGAGGCTCCACCGACTCAGATGTGGGCATAAATACTTTGTGAGGTGATTCCAACTAAGTAGTTGGAACCTCTCCTCTTCTCCTTTCCAGCAATATCTTTGTTATTGAATTGACGAGTATAATGCCCACATTTACCTATTTCACCCCTTAGAGAGTGATAAGAAATCAAAGGTCTTTTTCCACTAGCCTTATGACTACTGCGATTCTTAATATGATGAGAACCATATTAAGAACGACTGAACCAACCATTCTAATCATTATAATCTCAAGAACGACTAATGTGTTATACTCTTTCAATTTATCACGACATCTTTTCTTTTAGCTCTCATTGCTCTATTTCATGGCACATGGTAGTTGCCTCTACCCACCAATCTATAACCCTCTGCTTTTTTATGGCTCATCGATATGATCTGAGAAAGAACAAGATACTACTTCTATATATCATTACATAACATCAAAGGCATTCTTTGGTTTCTCTCTTAGCACAATCCGAGTTTTTTTTCATTTTACTCTCCTTCCCTCTCGGTGTATTGATAGAACCAGAAATTTGTTACTTTTCTCTATGCAGTATTTATTTAAATAGTTAAGAAAACACATTAGTATTGCTTTTTAAAAAATTAAGAAAATTTTGATATTAATAATATTATAATTAGCATTGCATAAAATAAATAATACAACTTAATTATTAAAAATATGTCATAATAGTGATCCCTATCATAATATATTTTAAACAAATCAGGCCCCAACCACACATTATCAAATGGTTCAGTGAGCGAATTCTCAAACCATACAGTTTAGCCTTGATATTAAACTATGGTAAAGCTTTGTATTATTAAATCATAACCATGAAATATTTATGATAAATTTTAAAATTTTCATATATATATTTTGAGATACGTGGGAAATTAATGGTATATTATTCCTTGCACTAATCTCCAAGTAGATTCATGATCTTCCAGATGCATTATGATCCAAACTTTGATATCTTAAGATGAGTTTTGAGGCCATATCGAGTCATTTTTCATTTTAAATTGCTTCAAATTAATTTAATTTATAAAATAATTTCTAATTATATTTTAAGAAAATTCAAATTACAAAAAAAAAAAGGAAATTTACATACGCAGCACATACTTCTTATATAATTACATATCTCATTCCTATAAAGTTTTATCTAGACATAAAGAAAAAATGAAATAATTATGATTGGGTAAGCATATAATTAAGAGAATCGGAATCCATACAGGTTGCAAATATGATATATGCAGTATAAATAGACCAACAAGAGATTGGCATGCAAAATGAAATAATTAATATATGCAAATAAAAGTAATTAATAAATAAAAAAGGCATCACTAATATCGGGTCACGGATGCCTACGCCCCACCTACTCCATTGGAAAAGAATCTTGCACTAGAGAGTAAGGGGTAAAATCGTAATAATAAAGAAAGTGGTACCCCTCACAGATTCACTCGCTCGCCGACTCTCCGATCCGGGTTTTGACTCGGCCGAGTCGGAAAGCGGCCGTGAAGCGGTATCTCGATCCCGGTTCGGTACGCGACGAATCGATTCCGCTGTGTCTACCCTTTTCTTCTCCACCACCGCGGCGAATCTCGAGTTTTTAATGCTGAAGCTTTTTCCGGTTCAGGAGATTCCGGTTCATCGAACCGTTCTCTGCTCTCTCTCTCTCGCTTCTGCATCCTAATCTATCCTTGTTTTGGGTCTTTGTTGCAGCTGTTATAAATAATTTGCAGTCACGGCTACGGAATTTTCTTCTTTAATCTCCATGATCCATGTTGGAAGGTATTAATACTGAGAGAAAGGAGAGATCTTTGGTGAGACGGAGATAAGATGGGGTTGCTGGCACCCGAGCTAGGGCTTGATTTGAAACTGTTTACTAAAAGAACGATTTTTAGCTGTTTGAAGGATGAGATTCAGGCCGGCAGCCGGGCTGCAAAACTAGAAGATTTCGCTCGGAGGCTTGAAGAAGAGAGACGCAAAATCGAAGCTTTTAAGCGCGAACTCCCTCTGTGTATGCTTCTGCTCGCCGATGGTACCTTCTTTCGATCTCAAACCATGGTTCTATTTATTATTGTTTAATATCTGTTTATCTCATTCTGATGGTTGTGGAATTTGCGCTGTGTAGTGATCGGTGTGTTGAAACTGGAGATGGAGCAATGCCAGAGCGACGGCAGTGATGACAGTGTTCTTAAGGAATTTATTCCCCTTGAAACGAGATCGGATGAGTATAAGGAGGAGGAGAAAGCGATGAATTTGGAGAAGGAGAGCAAGGAGAAGATGGAGTGGATGAGCTCTGCTCAGCTCTGGAGCGATAACTCCAGCCATGAAAGCATCGATGGCAAGGAAGATTCCCAAGAGGTTTTTCATCAAAGAACTGATCAATTTGTATTTGTCTCGTTTCCCTTCTGAAAAGTATGGGCTTTGTTGGTTTTAGCAGAAGAAGGATGACAGATCCCATGGCCGGAAGGACTGTGATGCCCTCTTTCTGGAGTCTAATACCGGCCGCGCATTCCTACCCTTCAAAGCCATGGCGGCACCGCGGAAGGAAGAGGAGAAGCTGAGCATCTCTTTGCCGGATCTATCCCTCATGCCTCTACCGATCAAGGTTCCTTGCTCTGCCCCGATCACCACCGTTGCTGCTGAAGAAGACAATCGTAGCAGTGGATTGAACTCCAAGGCTGTGACAATAGCATCTTCTTCGCCTAGAAACGAACACCTGGGTTTGCAGCCACAACAACAGTATCAGCAGAATCCACAGAGGAAAGCACGGCGGTGCTGGTCTCCAGAGCTTCACCGGCGTTTCATCATTGCTCTTCAGCAGCTCGGAGGTGCACAAGGTTAGATTGGAATGTTTTGACAATTCTTTTCATGAATTGAACTTTAACGTGACTGAATTCATCAAATTTCAACTTTGAGGCGCAAAGATCTGAAAAATTGATAATAATAAATTTGGGAATTTTAGATTTGTAAGTTTTTGTTGCGCTGCTGTGATTGAATTGGAAAGTGAAATTTAATGGTTTTGATTGACTTCATATGGTATCCAACTTTAATGTGTGCTGATCTGAAAAAAATTCAATTTTGGGGCTTATAGCTTGCTAAATGAATTGGAATTTGCCTTTCTGTTGATTCAAAGTAGGCGGGGAGTAAATCAAACTAGATCTTATATGCTTATTTAGAAAACTTAAAGATGAAATGAAATTAAAGCAGGGTTCCCTCTTTTACTATTGCAGTTGCGACTCCAAAACAGATCAGAGAATTAATGAAGGTTGACGGGCTGACAAATGATGAAGTAAAAAGTCACCTTCAGGTTGATTCAATGTTTCCAATCTTAATTTTTCTATCTCTTTCCTTTTTTTTTTCTCAATTAACCACCTCTAATCCTCTGTTTCTTATACTGATTACCTCCATCAATATTCCTTTCCTGCTTCAGAAATATAGATTGCATACTCGAAGAATTCCTAATTCTTCTGCAACTCAAGTGAACAGACCGGTAGTCATGGTGGGAGGCTTGTGGGTTTCTCAGGATCAGCAGAATGCCTCGCAATCTGGATCACCACAAGGCCCTCTTCAGTTGACTTGTGCTGCTCAGGCTCTCTCCATGACCGGCGGAGATAGCTGCACCGATGATGGAAAATCAGAAAGCTACAGCTGGAAATGATTTGAATTCATCTATGCTGATGCTCCATAATCATGGCTACATATTGAACAAATACTCTATAGAGATCTTGCAGAGTTGACACTCACATTGGAGTTTAATGATGTATAGAATGATCCATAATTCTGCTTATATGAGCATAAAACAATAATATTGGTGCCTGAATTCACAAAAGATAAGATTTTTATGCTGGGGAGAAGAAGAGATATGGATCTGCTCACCCCAAGTTTTGGCTAGAAATTCAGATTTCCGCCCAGTTTTTCATCGGTTTTTTTATGATATTGTGCTTATGCTACATCTACGGGACAAACATTTTGTTTTTCCTGAGGGAGTTATATATATATATATATATATATATATATATATATGTTGCTGGTTTTGAGCATATTTTGTGTTGGACTTGTTATCTAAAGTCTCTTCTGTTTCTGATTTTCTTTGATATTGTTTGTCTGATTGAATACTGATTAACGGCAATGTGTTGTTCTCATCTCAGCGACGAGAATCTATACCAGGTGTGAATAAATACGCCTTTCTTTCATCTCATCCTCGTCACATTTCTCTGAATTGTTTTGCTCTGTTTTCTTTTTTCTCTTTTCCTCTGTTTCCAAACAATATGCTTGTCTGTTAAAAATCTGCTCTGAATTGCCTTGAAAGACATCTATCCATTCAGCTTGTTTCTCATAGAAAGAATTTGTTCCTTTGTTACAGAGCTTGCTTTTGGTTGGGACCAAGAGGCAATACATGAGGCTGTTTACATACAAACCCCTCAATTTCTATACATTTACATACCTAAATCTTAAATTTTAATTTTTACATATGTGGCCCTTGTTTTCACTTTTTAAAAGATAGAATAGTTGTGTTTTTGATGTGATCAAAGGATTTGGGTGATATGACTGAAAAGAAAAGTTTAGGTGCTGGATATATGAATGCATAGGAATTGGATGGTATACATGTAAATGCTCTTTTTTTTTATCAAAATAAATAAATTTTGCGATGGGAGTTATTAGTTGATTTATCACTCATGCAAGCCTCGCCTTCTTGTTCAAGGAAAAGATCTCAGAAGTGAAAGATAGTAACTATAAGCGAGAGTGCATAATGTGGAAAGTAGTGGGTGGGACAAAAGAGTCTCCATCACGGTGAGGGAGAATAGAAAGATAGCTTTTTTTTATGTGGGGGGTAAGATACAGTGAGAGCACATCAATAGAGCATGATCCTTCTAATAATGACTTATTATTATTTAAATCCTATAAATCATTTAATATTAGTGATGCTTGCTAGAAAATTCATGATACCAGAGTGATGAATTGTAGTCTTAGCGTCGCATGAGAATCCGACATATACTCAGATAAGAGAAAATAATCATTAGAGACACCGCAAGTTTTTATATGAAAAAATCAGAAAGAGAAAAAACACGAGGTTTTACTCGGTTGAAATATTTCATTATGAGTTGGTGATTTTTGATACTGTTCCTTATACCATATGCGGAAAAGAGTTACACTGTTTCTCGAGATACAACGTTCGTGTGCCAAAGAATTTGTTGACTCACAGGATGGAGCGATACTCGTGGGGAGGATTTGTTGGTGCTTCAGTACACTGTCTTTGAAGTCGGCATGATATTCGGGATGTTGCACTGCTTCGTAGGCTGTTTCGCGACTCCGCAGTGTCAATTATTACTTGGCACAATGTTTAGTCGTAAGGAGTAGGCGATGGTGTATGATGGTCAGTAGCGGCCAACAAGCCGTGGTTGATAGAAGTCAGCAGCTACAGGAGCTGGAAGTGTTTGTCGGATTGTTGATGCAAAATATCAGACTTTGCTCCATCTTCTTCAAGCTTTGGTCTTTCTTTGGCTAAGGGTATGGTCTCTTCTAAGAAAGGGGGTATGACTCTATTTATATAGTTCATATTGCAAATAAGGAAGGAATCCATGTCATTCTCATCGGACAACCTGAGAAGATTCCATTGATCAGATAACGTTCTGTGGATATTTAACAACATTAATGATGTCGAAATTGAGTGATCTTAGGCTCTTTAGACTTCTATTGTCGAGACACTTAAATTGACTATAAGCATGTCTTATTCAGAATTCGTTTTACCATCTAATTATATATTGAAAGCTTTCAAAAAGTGATTTATTGGCTTGATTTGGGTTTTATTTTACTCGGACTTAACATTTTGATTGTAATTTTGCTGAAATCAGAGTTCTTGATATTTTTTTTAATCAAAATTTAAATGTTTCTTGCTAAAAAAATTGCCTCAAAATTTGTGCTAAACGGTGGAAATTTATTGATGGCATGTCAATTAGTGCATATTTAGTTTAAGAAATTACAAGATTGAGCCGGTTACCTAGATAGGTTTTTTAGTTTGGTAAAAAAATTTAGGTTCATTTACATTTGATATTTATGTGCATGACAATCATATCTTTAATATCTCATAAAAAATACCACTATGTCCTAATTCTTAAAAGTGAAACAAACCTTTTTATCCTTAATTTTGTCACACCAGAAGTGCTATAAATGTAAAAAATGCAAGTTTAGGCGCGTAGGCATTGTGTGGTGTTTGCATTTTATTTGAAGAGACTTGATAAGGTAAAGTTACTTTATGGTTCAATTTATGCATAAATTTAATACAAAGGGTCCATTACACATCTACCATTGTTCATGAAATTTAATTTATAAAACTTCCTGTTCAAATGTATTATAGGAGGGCCCGCTTCTTTAGGTGGCATATAAATTCATTTCATTATTTCAAGAGAAGGCATGACTTGAATATTTATAATTGAAAACATTTGATAATTCCATATGATGGTGTTGATTTTCCCAAATTCTTGCACTTGTGATATCTCCATCTCTTGATGGAAAAAAAATATTGCATCAGGACTCCACACGTAGAGCTACGTGCGGGATCCAATGAAATTACGCTGTGGAGGTGATCAGTCCGGTAACACAAGGGAATATTCCCCTCGTGTTGTTCAGGTATTATTGGATATTATTCAGGAGTTATTGTGTGTAATTCAAGTATTATTAATGTGTTATTGTATTATTATAACACCGAGAATATTTACATAACACAATATCAGAAAAACACACAATAATACTTGAATAACACGAAGAGAACATTTTCTTGTGTTACCGGGCCGATCAAGTCCACCGCGTAATTTCATTAGTTTATTCCTCTTAATGACTTACATGCTCATACAACATAATTAAAAATTTTACATATGAGACCTCCACATAAAGCAACAATATTGAATGCAATATTTGACGGTGCTAATAAAATAAATAATTTGAGCATATTAATATGCTACGGGCGGCCGTCAACGCACATCCCTGTGGAGGCCAGAAGCAATCACTATTGTCGAGTTTATTTTACTTTAAATCAAATTTAAAAAAAAAAAGAAATTTATCATTGAATTGTACTTAATCAAATACCAAAAAATAATTCAAATAATAAATTAAAATATTTAAACTATTTCGAGATTTCTAAATAGGGTTGTTAATTATGACCTAAAGTCTTAGCAAAAAGTCCAGTTGGTCATTAAGGGTCCGTTTGGGGCAGCTTATAACTGTCGGCGTTCTGTACCGTTTGGTTCGCGCGTTTCGCCAGCTTATCCGAAACTGCGTTTGAGTTTCCGTTTGAGTTCTAGTACTAAACGCAGGCCGCGGGTCGACCCCTGCTGCCGGCTCGCGGGCCATGTTTCAGGATAAGCAGCTTATCCTGAAATACACAAGCTGCCTCAAACAGACCCTAAGTTAAAAAAAAGTAACTTCTAGTTGTGGGCAGGCAAGAAGCGTGGGCTTCATAGGTAAATTCTAAAGAGTTTATTTTATATGATTTTTAAATTTAATTTTATTAAAAATATGTATTTATTTATTTTTTTTAGAATATGCCTAAATTTTATTTATTTATTTTCAAGAATATATTAATTCATTTCTAATATAAAAAACATAGTTTATTTTAATGAGAATATAAACAAATAATATAAGATTCAAAATATAAATAAAATAAATTAAAAGTGATTTTTGAAAGACGGCTAAATTAATGAAAGAATAAAGAAAAAAAATTGTTTTTCTTAAAATTATGTGTTGGACTAGTTAAAATTAAAACTAGCTAAGCCTATTTCTTGCAAATGACAAAAAAAAAGGGGATAATTACATGCATAGCACTTGAAATTTTCCTATTTATTAAACTAGCACTCATCTCATTTTTTTTAGCTAATAAGCTGTTGCATTTATGCGTGACACGGTCAGACCATTGAAAACTTAATAAAAATGATAATTATGGGATGTAGATTTTGACATTTAAATGAGAATTTAAAAAAACTAAAGAAATAGAGTACAAATTTTGTAAATAATAATCTTTTGAGTGTTATGTATGCAAATAATGTTACGATATGATGAAGGGTCCGTTTGGGGTAGCTTATTTGGTGCGGTGGCGTTTTGAAAACGCACCTGAGAATTTTGGGTAAAATGCGTTTTGGCAGCTTATGTGTTTTTAAAACACTTAAATCAGCGTTTTCACACCGCACCTATCTAGGTGCGGTGGTAGCTTTCTCGCTGCGATTTGGCTTTTCCAAAATAATAAAAATTTGTAATAGCTACCGCACCTATCTTATCAACAGTTTATTTTTAATCAGCTTATCAGCATATTATTCAATAAATTGTAGCTGCCCCAAACAGACCCGAAGTCATTCAACTTTAAACCAACTCGTTGATAAATTTAAAATTATATAATTAATAGTGTTTAATTTAAAAATATTATTTATTTATTTGAACTAAGTGTAAACACAAGTCATTTGTGGATGAAAAACTTTTCTAATAGCCCTAATTATGTCTTCGAAAGTCTTTTGTTATAATTTCGACTACCACTTATTGGCTTCACAATTAGTGGTTAACTGGCAATGAATTCATATTCACTATAAGTTATGGATGAGCATATTGCAACTGAACTTTATAGTTTATGACTCTTGATCTTAAATATGCCTAAATTTATCAGATTTCTACCTCACAAGCTCTATGAATAAATAAACAAAAAGTTCCATAAATATTTTTCAGAAATATAAAGAATATGTCAAATCTTAAGAGATAATATTATATCAGGATTCTTAACGTAGTTTGTGTTAGAAGTCGAATAATAAAACGTTACGTGTCAAACGGGCCCCATTATAATACACTGACATGGAATCGAGCTAAGAATGATGAGACTCGCTTGAATGGGTCCAGAGTCCAGAGTCCGGAGTCCGGACGTAACTTACTACTTTGTAACTCGCAAGCTCTATAAATACTTTTCAGAAGTATAACGAATGTGCCAAATGTCATTTCTTTTTCCGGCGGAGCTGACTAA